TTGCATTTACTCTCGTATATATCATAGTATATATTATTATGTATAAATATATTTTATTTGGTTATACGTGGATTAAGCCGTCGTCACAGTTGCAATTATATTTGCCTACGGCTGTATAGTAATAATAATATTATAATTGTGTACTCATATCTATATATGTAATAGAATATTTTAATATATTAAATTAATATTATGTTTATGTATGCGTGTACCACCTGACACAAAAACATTGTTATGCAATATATTATAGGTTTATATGTATATATAATATTATTATAATATCAATAAATGTGTAAATTACTTTGTGTGTGTAATATTTGTCATTAAGGTCATCTTAAAAATATAAAATTATACATATTATTAAATCCTGTCCCTCCATTTCAAACGTATATTTTGTATACTGTATATATACGAATACAACGCCATATCGATAAATTAATCAATATATGCGGAGACTCACAACGGTTAAACGGTTTTTAACAATGTGTGTGTATGTACATATATTTATGATGTACTAGCTATATATAATATATGTTTGGGACAGCAGAACCCCTCCACGCACAGTAATAACTACTTTCACGTTTCTTCTTTAAATTTAAAACCTTTTCGTGTTGTAGGTATAATCGCGCCCACTATAACCCCCGAAAACTATATATAATTACTTTGATTTCAAAACGGTTTCTCGGCGTTCGGGTAACCTACTATATAATAATATCATATTATATAATAATATATTATAATGGAATTCGAGTAACCCCAACGGAGCGTACCGCGGCGCCGTTTGTCACTTCGAAAAAGTTAATTAATATTGTTATTATTACTCCGAGTATCGCAGGTACAATTTAACATCGTTTGCGAGCGCATTTATTTCGTTTTAGTCGGTCGTTTAAGTATCAGCTGTACGCATATGTGTGTTTTGACTCCGGGGCGTCAATAAATTATACCGTGGGACGAATGTGTTGAACGTGTACGACGACGGTACCATAATATAATACAATATATACCTACTAGGTATATAATGATAAAACGGGCCTTACAAAAATATATAATAATTTTCAATTAAACCGAAAAAAATATAAAATATCATATGATAGAGTCGGCGGGACTGCGTGTACTATAGTCGCTCTCTTTTGGGGCGCGTTTCAATCTCTATAGGTCGCCGCAATTCGCCGGACGGCGTATAATAATAATTAATGTATACATACACACCACATCGATTTACGCGCGCGAAAACGAACACTGCGGCAAAATAATAAATACATATTATATACGTGCTATCGGGACGTTTATCGGTTTATATCTTATGTATAGAGAGCCGATCGGTCATAAATCGGCGTATAGCGTATACATAGTATATAATATATAATGATAATAATAATGATATGGAGCGCGTTGCAGGGTCGTGACGGCGGCGGCGTAGTTGTCGTTATTTTTCTCGCTCATTAATTCGGAACGGTTTTTTCCGGCCGCTGTCATACGTCAGACACGAGGTTTATGCGACGAGGTTAGGGGGCGGGAAGAAGCTTTTAGCCAGATGAACTCTCACACACACACACTGACACAATATATATATATACTGCCCCTTTGGACGCGCATATACACACACACACCCAAACACACGGATGGATGACCTCGTCGATTATTATATACAGCGTGTGCAGTGCTATGTATATACGTTTCGTCGTTATATTATGTATACGCGTGTGTGTACATTATTTTATATATCTTATAGTAGTAGTAGTAATAATAATAATAATAATAATAATAATAATAATAATAATAATAATAATAGTAATAATAATATAATCGTATATAGATTTGAACGCTCGCTCGATCGCTGCCATGTATATATACCGCCATGTGGTCGTCGTCGTTTGCCGCAAACTTTTATGGGTGTCGTAAAACCGCAATTTCTCCGGTCCCGAGGGATTATAAATAGACGAAAAACCACCGCTGCTCTTTTGCGGAAAACAGTGCTGCGAGCAGGGATTAGTAGGTATATATATAAATGTACATACGGATCTCGCCGTTGTACACGTACGCGTAATATCCATGTGCTGCAGCCGTGTTTTCCGCTATGACGATAAACGTTTTTCAATATTATAAAATATATAGATAGAGGCATATTAAATGTGTTATGTGTGTGTGTGCGTTTTTTGAACCGTGGCCAAAACACCGCGCGGCGTCGTCATCGGCTTCGTTTTATTATTATTTTTATTTACAATAAGCGATATAACGACAACGAATGAAATAATATAGATTATAGGCACACTTTATACAGCTGTAAAGTACCTACCTATAAATGTACTTGTATAATATCGTGCCCTTATAGATATGTGTACACACCGGAGGAGGTGTGTATCAATGCAGTTATATTATTATATAGGTATATGTTTTAATTTCTATCATATTATCGTGGCGTCTCGTCTTCGGTGTACGGAATTTTTCGGAAGTCACGCGATCATCCTGATGTATACAATAATATTATTTTAATGTATACGTGCTCGTTTTACTATCCCTACCCTCCCCGAGTACCTAAATATATGTGTACATTATATATATATAGGCTTGACATTTTAAGGACACGCTCTTTAAAAAATAAATAAATAAAAACGAAACAAACGCTCGCAAAGACTTTTTTTCTCCCCACACTTCGTCACACCGCGTACAGCCGCATAGGTATTATATAACATTATGATATATTATTTTCACATAATTTGGTCTGTCGACCTCCGCATGACAACAACTAAAACATAGTTATTATAAACGCAGTGCCGCTGTGTCTATGTATATAATATTACATATCGCCTGCACCACCACAGCTGGCAGCTACAGCAGCAGAAGCAGGAACGACGCAGGTATACAGCGATATTTTTTCCAAGTTTTTCGCGTGTCCGGCGCGTATATAATATAATATAATATACTTTCCTCTTTATTTTTATTTTCCTTTTTATTGCTGTCATTATTTCGTTATAGGTACTATCGTGCCGCTCCTGCAGGGTTGCCGCGATTTTGACCTTTGTGGCCCCTATCGGACACGCGACATTTTATATGTACATGGTACTTAATATAATATATTATAGTGAACATTTTATTATTATATTATTATTACCTATACATATTATAATATATACACTCGCTTCGCACGACCGTTTCGGCTCGTCTCTCGCCCTATCCTTTCGCCGCCGCGAAAAACTGCCATTGCCGTGTTGCCGTTGTTATTGCTATACATGTACACTGTAAATGCACACACACACTCACACCTATAGGGAAATTGCTTGTTAATAGTACGTAAAAACACTATTAAATTCGCACGAGTTAAATGTTCGTGGTTAAGTTTAATTATATATGTATATACTATATATGTGTGTGTGATGTGTGCATGTGTGTATTGCTGATAATTGCTGTAAAAATCAGAACTTATTGCCCCGATATTGTGTACATTAATAAATAATATAACATAAAATTGTTATTATATAATAATATTGTGAGTTATATATTTAGATCAATACACAAAAATCACGCGGAAGTCATGTTATAGTTGCTGCAGGTTAATTGGTGCAATTGCATATTGGTTACATTAGGTATTATTTATTGTTAACGACTTGTGTACAGCATTGTGAATTATTTAAAACAGCTTTTCATTTACTGCTCAAGGGTATTATGATTTATGAACGCCATTTACTAATGCAATATAAAGGGATTATAACATGAATGGGAGGGGGGAATGTGCTATAATTTCATGGAACTATATTATAAAATGATATACTAAGACCTATTAAGGAGAACTGCAACTACAAGAACGTGAAAAATATGCTCAAGATTTGAAAAGCGTCCACAAACGAAAATTAATTAGTATCGGAAAGGAAAAAAAACAACAGCTGATTTTTACCAATTTTATCAAATAATGAACAATACTTAATGGGAAGACAGTGATACCGGCTGCATTATGTACAATATAATTAATATAAGAGATAAATGTAATTCAAATCTTATAAGAACCGTTTTGAGGATTAAGTTATTGAGATTAATTGACTGCAGGGATGAGTGATGATTTTTGGCTCTTTTTGCAATGGGTTTGAGAGGCCCGTTAAACGCCAAAAACAATGTACCAATATTATGAACGCAGCCTTAATGTTCTTGCGTTCATGGAACAATAATAAGATGTATAAGTATATGAGTAAGAAATAAAAATCATGACATGGGTATTATATTCTGTAGCATCGACAAACATTATGCACAATATTATCGTAGTGCTATTCGCCGTATTTATAATATGTATATTAATATTGTGCATAGAGTTTCTCCTCAGGTTTCTTCCCGATCGAGTGGGGCTCTGTTATTAAGGAAAAAATAACTATCTCAGCTGCTGCAGCAGTGATTATTATATTATATTACGTATACTATATGGCTTACTATATTATTGTCGATGATCTTGGCCGAGTTGATCGAATTCTATATGTACATTTTGCTACAATATACTGCACATATAATATTATATAGATATGTGATAAATAATACCTATTATAAAATACATATAACGATCCATCGCGTGTCCTTCACGCGCTTTGCTAATTAACCGAAGTTTGAATTAAGTCGTTTTAACAGCCGGAAACTTGTTAGTGTGCGATGTATATAGAATATTATGAATTAATACAAGTACATATAGTGTTTTCTATATGTAATCGTATTGTATCTAAACACAGTGGCTGGTGCAGTGTCAGCGTTTAATATGCCCCGTGCTTGAAAAAAAAACACAATTATAATTACAGCTCGCTATATATACGTACATAAATATAGGTTTACCACCTGCAGCTAGCCCCGTTACGATGCAGAATATAATATATACAAAACAAATCTCATTTATATAATATTGTCACTTGTGCACGCCTATAGAATGTTTATATTTTCATATTTTGAAAAAAAAAAAAAATTAGTGTGTTTGTAATTTTTCATACAACTATAAACTTATGTATGTTGTTTTTGTTTGTTGTTTCCAGTGGGCTTCAGTAGCGTCGTGGTTTCTGCGGCCTGAGATGGCTGGAGCCAGCGTGCCGCCGATCGTGCCGCAACCACCTCCGATGCCCATCCGACCTTCCCGGACGTCTTCGGATCCCCCGCAAATGGCCATGCCTCCAACCATATGCACTGTAAGTGTCTGTTATTTTATTCTCTATATTATATTGTTGCAAGCGATCGATTCTCATCGAACATTATTTTACGACACACAATAATAAACCACAGACGTAACGCGTTTATTATAAATATGACTATCTTTGCGGAGGGCGTTTATACATATACGCAATACGTATTATATCTAATAATGTACGATTTAAAACAATAACTCGTCGGTATGCCATGCGTATATAATATTCGTATATACAGCGATATGTTCACCGTAGTCTCTGCACGACGGCACACGATACGATAAAAATATACTTTATAGTATCTATATATATAATATCGACGTCGTCGTTTTCATATTACAATATACAACCCATCGCACGACCGACACGCCCGTTATACGAAATTAATTTCGTTATTATTCGCATAATGCAATATTATACCTACTTTTCCGTGCGAAAAAATCGTGTTGCGCGCCGCGTTTCGCACCGCTCGCTGCACCAGCGGACCGTCAATCGGCAGGATATAGCCATAGGACACAGCGTCTTCGTCGCCGCGGTCATTATAATATACTTATTTTATACCTACGCATATCACGTACTAGCCCGGGTTGGACTACGATATTATAATATAATTTATATTAACATGTGCGGATACGAATAATAACAATACATAAATAATTGCCATTGGTTTTCCTATATACACACACACGGCGCGTATATATAACATTATACATATATATATAACTTCAGATGGAGGAGCTTCTTATGAAATGTGGACCTATTAGAGTGGAACGCTCGTCCCGCCGCGGTAATAGCGTATAGTCGTCATCGTCGTAATAGTCGTAAAGTCGTATAATAGTCGTCGTCGTCGACGTGTCCCGCACCCCACCCCCTCTCGGCGGCCGCTCATCCATCAATACCGACGTCGGATTTTGTGATTTGCATTTGAAGTGAAGATAGACTGATGTGCATGTATATATAATACAATAATAAATAATAATATATACGGTGTACGGTAAACGGCAATGTATACCCATCGATCTGCCGGCCGATATTGACAGCCTCCGCCGAGCGTTATCTGCCCGACGTCGGTTATAATATTATAATATACCCGTTCTATTTTACATAATTTCCATTTCGCCCTATGTTTATATATATATGATGCATTTAGGTACTACCGACGCGTGTAGTCGCGTATATTGTGTTATTATACATCCAATTGTGATGTGTTGCGTATATACCCTAGAATATAACAGAAATAATATTATAATACCATCATATTCATGGGTCGTGACGAGGGCGTATAGAAAATAGGTATACTCGTGTGTTAAAAACAATTCGACGAAGTTTCAGCCAATTCACGCAAAACTGAAAATAAAAACTACACGACGTACCTACACTTACGAACACTGCTGTTTTCCTTTATTATACTTACGTATAGGTACTATAAGTTAGGTTTACATTACACGCCCGTCTTCTACTGCAATATAATAACACTATACGTAGCGTACTTGTGTGCGCACTTTTGCTAAAGTATAAATGTATAATAATAATATAATACACAACAATGCGATAACGACCACTAGAAACGCACACACACTTTCACGGCGTATATTATATTGTGTGTAAATAATACCCTATTGACTGCGTACATGTGTATGTGTCCCGCGTGTATATATAGTGTCGTTTTCCCTCGTCGTACTTATATACATACATACACATAGATATATATACATATATTTACGCTCGTTTTTAATGGGCCGTGACAGGCGTCGCGCCCGATCGGCTCGATCAATTTCAATTACACAGCGTCGCGACGTCGTCGTCGTCGTGCCTAGCACCGTAGAACGCCGCGGGTTTTGTAATTTTCGAGGGAGTCACACGTGTGTGTGTGTGCGCGCGCGAGTTGGGCAAGTGTGTATGTTATTATTATTTTTGTGATGGGACACGACGGTAGCTGAGAAGAAAAACGGTATCGAGTAGGTTTTTAATTGACGCGTGACAATATTATCGTTAACTTCAATAACATGCGACGGAAGCACTTGACATTTTTAAAGCATCTGCTGTGTAATACATCGCGTTCATCATACGATATTATAATGTGACAGTCTAAAGTTTTGATGGGTACCGTGTGTGTTCACTGTCTACGACATATATTTATACATTACACGTATTTTACTGTATACATATTATGTGCGTCCTTCGCGTCACCATCGCATTCGACGGCCTTGCGGTTATCCTACTTACTATACTTAGGACCTTATTGTCGTATATAGTAATTATTATACTCGCGTCTATCACATACGACAATCGTTCACCGTGCGTACGTAGTACCTAAAATTTAATATTATAGGTACCAATAATAATAACATTCGATTCACGAGCGTTGTGGTTATGATATTATTATTAGTATTTTTTTTTCGATTTACCTTCGGTGATAGAGAGAGGTGCTGGCCGAGCACGGTGGGTAGAAATTATATAGGTTCAATGTTCATGTATATACGAAATTGACATTATGACATCGTATATATATATACATGTGTGTGAGTGGGTATGCCAATGACAGTAACAATTTTGAGTGGCCCGGACATTACATTATGATTAGAGGTACGAGGTACCGGTAGGCCTGTGGGCGTTTTTTTATTTTTTTTACTTCTATATGAGCTCCGTGTTCAGACCGGTTGAACGACGAACGACGACGACGACGACGACGACGATGACGACCAAAGCACTTGGTATGTGCACACGTATATTATTAGTATGTGTATACCTGCGCACGAGAGGACATCGATCGGCGAGTATAATGTAGATGTGTGTGTGTAGTAGTAGTAGTTGTGGTAGTAGTAGTGCCATGTTATTATGGAGATGAGATGCACACACACATAAAAGGTACGTGACTGTCATCTCGGGGCTGATTACAGGGTGTCTGTCACTGAGGCCGCCGCAGATTGCCTCTCGTATAACTGCCGGGCAATATATATATAAAGGTACTAGTAAGGTGGGTACAGAAGGAGGAGAAAAAAAGCGGTATGTGTGTAGTAATAATAAAAATGATGAAACACCTGCAACCAATTTTGTATAAATAATGTAATATATTTCTTTGGCCCGCGGTCTCTCGGAGATCATTATCTCTAGGCGGCCGCCACTGCCACATCGACTCTTCTATATCGCCGCCAAAATATGACGTTACACCCCCTTTTTTTCCTTTGTCTCCTCTTCTCATCGCTAAAACCTATGCCGTAACAGCAACGACCATAATATCACAACACTACACGAGCACGAGCGTTTATATAGACATATAATATTATATTAAATAATCGATGAACATTTTTACGACCGTAACGGCGGGAATGTTTTTATGCGATGTTAACTACGTGTAATATCACTACTATTAGTACCACTACTATACTTCTATAACAACCCTTACACAGTTGCACGACAAACCAACCAATTGTGAGAGAGAAATGAAAATCTGAGTGAGTTGACCGTATATTTATCGTATAAAGTTAAAATTATTATATATAGCTTATACGTTTATGTATATATAGTGCATTATAATAATATATTAGTAGTGATGGGCTACTATGCCCTAAACTCGTGACGCTATGTGTGCAGTGGGTATGGAGACCCTTCTTCCGGCCCAGAAACTGAAGGGATTATAATTTGCTTGTTGCCCCCCTTGCTTACCCCTACCCGCCACCACAAACAGCACCGTAATATTGCACTCGCGCGTGTACAACGGCACATGATGGCCACCACTGCTTGTGTATGTGTGTGTATATGTACCTATAGCGCGTGCGTGTGTTTGGTATATATATATTTAGATACGTGTGCAAAAGGGTTCAGCATTAATTCCATCCGGTCCCCGTTGACAGGTCAATACCCCCCCAACCACCTCCTACACCGCCAATCTATCGCCTGCGATATGTAGCCGTCCATCTTGCATCATTCCAGTTTATCCTGCTTCAGTCACTCTGCGCAGTCGTATCTCTCTCACTCTCTCTCTCTTTGACCAGGTTCCTCTCCCTCTATTACCAAATCCCTCTCCCTTGTGCCGCACGTCATCGGTTCGTATAATAATATACGCTCTTTCCGCGCGCGCTCACAACAATAACGGATAATAATAATAATAATAATAATAATAATAATAATAATACAAATTACAATATAGGTTGACCGACCGACCGGCGTCAGCAGAGGGGGTCGACACCGCCCGCAACCCTTTACGTATATGGAAATTACATTTTGCGGTGCGCATACCATATATATCTATAATACGCGTGCGGGTGAGCGTAATATAATATACAGTATAAAGTTGTACATTGTACATGTTTATAGGTGCCTACACCGCAATCATATTATACATTATATCGTTGCGGAAATGCATGACTATATTTTCATAACAAATATATAACATTATATAATTTACGACGGTTCGCATATAAGAGGTAGGTACAGTACTATACAGTCTACAGGCACCGATGTAATATTATGTTGGATTATACTGTAACTGCTGAGACTGTGAGGTGAATGAAGCTTTTTGTACGTCCATGGTGACTGCAGTGTATAAAGAATTGAGATAAAAATAAAATAGATTTCGGTCGATCTGCGTTATTGCCGCACGCTGCACGGTCACCACGTGATTGATTTGTGCGGTGTCCGCCGCCCCACACCCGGTTCTTGAACGCTGCGAGCGTATTGCATGTGCGTTGTATGATACACGCGATATATTATTAAATTAATCGTCGACTCGTATTTTCGAGTGAAAAAAAACAAATCGAAACTAATTGGAAAAACGGCGAGCGCGTTTAGGTGCGCGCGGCGACGTACAGTAATATTCATAAAATTATTATGTTATATATTATATACATATATAATATGGATTCCGAACGCGTCTACATTATACGAATCGGTCGTCGTAAGCCATAGGAGACGGTCGTCTCACGACGAGTCCTTGACGTGATCACGACCAGAGGATACCAGTCAGCCGAGCGGGATACAATGGTGAGCGAGCACGCGCGTGT